CCAACCCTCTGGCAACAAGGTACGAATTAGGTCGATCGGTATCCCACATAGATCGGGCACAATGCTAAGGATGTCTTTACGCAGAATGATTGCCATCTTCGACGAAGACGGTGGCGGCGACGTTGACTTCCAGGAGTTCGTATCAGGTCTTAGCGCCTTTTCTTCCAAGGGAAACAAGGAGCAGAAGCTACGTTTCGCTTTCAAGGTTTACGATATCGACCGCGATGGTTACATCAGCAACGGCGAGCTGTTCATTGTGCTCAAGATGATGGTCGGAAGCAACTTGAAGGACCAGCAGCTGCAGCAAATCGTGGACAAGACCATCATGGAGGCGGATCTCGACAAGGATGGCAAGATCAGCTTCGAGGAGTTCACGAAGATGGTGGAGAACACGGATGTCAGCATGAGCATGACGTTGGGTGAGTTTTGATATTCTGACGTTCAATGCGCTTGACAAAGGCTGACAATACGTTCCAGACACATTCTAGAGAACGGCATCTTGATGGCAAGCGGGATAGGATCATGAGACATGAATTGCAACACTCTTCTGGGTAGAGATACACCAAACCTCCTTTGGGCGGCACAGCAACCGTCGCTCGGTCTGAATTGAGATATGTCTTGGCTTCTGGGCTGCGCATCCTTCCCCATGGTGACTTTAGGCCGCTTCAATCGCACAAGAAATGTAAGTTACGTGCAGCAAATGACGTGTTCAACTTTGGCTATGGCTAGTGAGAATTGGTACTGGGCAAGGCCAAGCGGGCAAGAAAAGGGAACGTAGTCAACGGCTGGTGGACGACACTAACGGTCTGGTGTAGCTAGCTCCAATTTAGACGCTTCTTTGCCAACCTTTGCAGCTGGACGACAGAACCTAGCGGTTCCGGTTGTGGAAAACTGCCTCCGTGATGTGCTCTCGAAATCACCCTTCAAGCACGCACTGCAACAGCCCAGTCCCTGTTTCTGGTTGGGCATCAGAGCGCTGTGGCCGGCCCCTAATCGCCATCAAGCTGAGAAGCGATATGCAACGCCGATGGCAGTCCCGGCAGCCGTGACCCGTATTCTGACGCCAGCAAATCTAGGGGAAACGAGTGTAGGATCTGCTGTGGTTGCCGTCAAATCCTGCGAATCGAAAAATCGAGTTATAGGTTGTTCCATGCCTTTGAGAGGAAAGTTTCGCTGCGTCAGTTCGTCTGGATGTTCCATCTCAACTCGTTCTTTTCGCCATTCAGAACTATGAGACCGACGTAAATATCCCGCAGCAAGTGTCCAAGCGAGCATATGCATGTCAGATAACAGCGTCCTCCAAAATCGTCCTATGAAAATAGCCGTTTTCCCTATTAACTTAAGTCCTTAATTCGAACGCTGTCCAATTTGCTCATCTTGCGTTAAGGTTCATGCATGAGATCTCAAATTGACACCTATTTCTACGCCTCCTGCACCAATGAGCGGTGGTACCCGGGGTGTGCGTCGTCCGGAAGTTCAGTTGTCTTATGTCGCTGTGCACGGCTTGTGATTAGAGCTTCATCAATTGGTTTTGAAGATCTTGCTGCTTCCTCTCCTCTATCGCCGCCTATTGTGAAGCCCGATGATTCTGCAGGATGTTTTTGCTTGGATTGAGGACAGATATATAATAGAGTAAGCTCTCATTGAAAGCACTAGAAAGAATTATCCGGCGATGCTCGATGATAGCTGGTAGGACCCTGTGGTCTGGAGTTTCAAAGCCTCCGGGCATCCGAGCCCATAACCTTCATAATAGTTTTCTTCTTTCCATGAACCTATATCAATTATCTGCCTCTCAGCTGTGACGTGTGAACCCACTTTCCTTCCCAGTTGCCAGTGAGTTTTGTATGAAAGATAGGTATGAACGTTCCGGAGCATGGAACACGCCACCATCTTATTCTGCAGTACTCCCATGCGGTCTTTTTCATAATACTTCGGGTAGCAGACCTGAGAATTCCAAGGGTCGAAATGCTAACTAAATCCGACCAAGTGCGTTGAGCCCCCTGTAAGGAGTGAAATTCGAGGAGGGGATCGTCATGAGTACCGAATCCGAGACGATTAACTCTTGTGAATGGCTTCTGTGATTGTAAAGAAAAACCACATAAACTTATTTCCGTCGAATCCGGTATGTAGAGTAAGCTTGACAGCGAAGTCTGAAATCTGGCACCGGTGGTCGCTTCACTCTTCCCAAGAGCGTTGTCACGGCTCAGGGTCAAGGTGAAAATCAAGTATAATTGAGTAATCCTTCTCATGAGCTCTTGTAGTTCCGTGGTCAGATTGAAACTTTCACTCTACAGTATCACGGTTTATCTACGTTGAGAATACGCCAAGTGAAGTGCAAACACAAAGTGGCAATGAAGGAAATCTGTCGCAATGCTATAATTGACTTGATTTTCTAGAAGCTCTGCTATTCTCCCTACTCTCGAGCCACTCGTTTCTGTAGTCGTTATTAACACTGCAGTCGTCTCCTCTTCAAACACGACACCAACATCATCACAAAGACATGGCCATTTGAGGTGTGCACGAGAAAGATACACAATATTTACCGAGATCAAGTAAGCAAAAACGAAAAGACAAAAGCCGAATGGATTCGGATCATCAGCACTTGCTCTTCAGTCTAAGTTTGATTGCCTTCGTGGACTGTAGGCTGAATATTATTACCATTCCTTTTTCCCTTTTTCCTGTATCCAAACATCGATGTTCTGAACTGAAGAGCGAGAGCCTTATCGTTAGGCCACAGCATACTTGTTGAAATGGCATGCTATGGACACACTCAAACCTCCCCACTCATGGTGTCCTTGTTGCCATGTGGGCTTGAAGATTAGATTTGAGCTAGCACAGGTGAACCCTAAGGTAGACGAAGATAGTATAGAAATGAGCGTCCACAGTTTATAGACATGTCCTGCTGTATCCGTTTCTGGACGTTCTTGGACGAATGCGAGACAACAGACAGTTGCTGGTTTCCGGTCGTCGAAGATTTTGTGAGAGTACACAGCGAATTTGCTGACATCGAATGTAAGATGTCTGATGGCACGTACTACAATCCTAACACGGATCAAACAGCCCTGAAAGCACTTGCCGGATTAGGCTTTCCCAACAGCTTGGTTGTATGAGCCATTCAGTCGGTAAGCGTCAACTCCCTTGAACCTGGCTGGCTGGCTAGGTGTCGGCCTCAAGGTGCGTACCACGAGCAGAGACCAATTGTCCCACGTCAAGGTCTCTGTACTTGGCCATTAAGAACGCGTGGGATGTCAGGACTCGGATTTAAAGTGGACAGGGACAGGCTGATTACAGAGGTAACAACGTGGGTGTCACGGGTGGCCGAGAAGGATTCCCCTGTCTCGCACAAGCCAATGACGGAACCGCTAAGTCACTCCAAACAACTGCGGCCCCTCGAATGAAGGCTAGCAGGATGTCTCGGGCATTGGCGTCAACTACTGCTTCTCGTGACGTGCTGACCATTATTGGACTTGGGTTGATTTCCTTAAACTAAGCATGTTAGGAGGCTTGTGCATGACCTTACGTGGCTAGCAAAAGAACATTAGATTGGGGATGTTAAGAGTCCCAACCCAGGGCAGACCGGGCCGAGCGGAGCCGTTGACTTCCGGGACCCACTCCGGGATTACCGGGTCGTCAACCTTCTTTTTCCGGGAGGCGCGGAGAAGCCACATGCGAAGGCCCGGATCCAGAAACGGAACACGCAAAAAGTCATGTACGGGTACAAACATCACCAAGCCCCGTCCGCTCCACAGTGGCTCTCTGCTGGGCATGGATCATCAGATCATGTCTGTTCACACGCAACAGGGAATCCTCTTTTGCTCACACCCCTCGCATATCGATGCCCTTGTCCCCAGACTGAGGGCGGGTGTGTGGTGGAGAACACCACCAGTAACTCAGCTGCGCCGGGAGAAAAAGTGACAGGTCATTTTTCCTCAACTATGCAACCAACACAAAAATGACCAAAGAGAGACGTGCAGGAGTCCCTGTCCCAACACAGGCCTCCCAACCATGGCACTGGGAAATTTTAGGGGCGGGACACAGCACAAGACGAAAGGAAAAAAAAGAGGGAACGGAAGCTACGCTGCTTAGCCGGAAGGGGCATAGCAACGCCGCCCTACAACAAGCATACGGCCTGATACGTAGCTGCGAACCCGCCTCGGCCAGAGACAGGATGATCGATACTGCGTCGAACGGCGGCCTGCCTGTTCCGAAGAAGATCTGCGTCTCCCGCTGCTTGGATCCCGCGGGCCCTTTCCAGAGTGCTGGGCTCGTTGGGCGAGACTTTGTCTTCACACCAAGTAGGGATAACGTGGCCGGGACTTGGACAGGGCGGAATGGGCTTTTGATTGATTTTTGAGGCGAGCGGCGGCACGGCGCGGCCATCCAAAAGTGGAGTTTCATCCATATCTTGATCTGGTGATCGACTCGTTTGGACGTGTGCATGTTGCGCGCCAACTCGACCCTTGGACAATTTCGCATCTCCGCCCGACAGTGGTAATGTGATACAGCGCCCCTCGCAGTTCCGCCTCGAGAGAGAGTAGGTGTGTTGTGCTTCTCTCTCGGCCGGCAGCCCTGTTTGCAAGACAACCAGGGTAGCTCAGCCGTGTTTCAATATCTCCCTCGCTTTAGCAGCACAGAGAGTAAGGCCTCCCAGAGCAAAAGCCCCCGGTGATCTGCACTCTGGACTCTTCCCACTCAGATCATGCGCAGGCCAAGATAATGCCGTACTACATGCCCTGCTCCGTACACCCACCAACGCTGCTCCACCCGCCTTGCTCCCCAGCCTCATCTTGCGCATTCATATTTCTTATTCTCTAGCCGGGTTTGATTCTCTCTAGGGATGGCAAAGTGTTATCAAAAATTAGCAGGCCGGGCTGTTGCCGGTCTCTGTGTCACATTTCATTCATCCACATCCTCCATTGTTCACTTGATATCGCAGCATGTAGCAACTCAGAGCGATGGGGCATCGTCTGTAGCACCCCACCATCCAGCCCCGGTTCCGTCTAATCCTCCTTCTTATTGCCCACCTTCCCTGTCTTGTGCAGCCCGACAAGGCCAAGGGCGAAGCAGAGCACCATGAAGCCAGTCATTGCCCAGAAGCTGGCTCGGTAGCCAAGGAGGAGAGCATCGATTGGCGTCTCCCGCGCCGCCGCCTTATTGGTCACCGCGCCCGCCACGACCTGCATGATGGCAAGGCCGAGGGAGGTCCCGAACTGGGATGCCGCATTGAACACTGCTCCTGCAAGTGCCTGCGTATCTTCAGGGAACGCCTCGGACACAATAATGAGGCCGACGGTGAAGAGAATGTCGCCGCTGATCGGTTGCAGGAGCTGGGCGAAGAAGGCGTTGTACCAATATGGCCACTCCGGCTTGGCGAGCGCCATCAGGACCGGGCCGCCGGCGCAGACTATCGACGAGCCGGCCACCAACCATCGGGCAGAAACCTTGTGGACAAACAGGCCAGTGGTGAAGTTGAGGATTATGCCGACGACAAGGCTGGGGAGAAGTCGGGTGGATGTCTCCGTTGCAGACAACCCTTGTACCTCTTGAAAGCTGCCAGAGTCAAGATTAACCGTGGCTGTTCCAGCGCCAGTGGGGCGCTTCTACTTACAACAGACTGCAGTATTGCTCCATTGACTTTAGTACGGCGAAAGACAACAGCATGGTGGCGCAAACGCTCGAGAAGGCTGTATTGCGCCATAAGCTGTTTGGTATCAAGGCCGGTTTGCCGAGGCGCGTCTGACGGTGAACCCAAGCGACAAAGGCAGGCAAGGCGAAGCCAGCCGCACACAGCGTTGCCATGCTGTCTCGATGGCTTACACTGCCAATATCGGAACTCACGATGCTTGATGGCCATTCGTTTAGCAGCCTCGACATGTGGCATTCGGAAGAGGATCAACTTACGCCAAGAAGTACGACAAACAGACCATGAACCCGGATGCCAGAAGCGAGCCAGCCCAATCCAATTTCCTCTTCAGTTCGTGGACAGCTTCAGATGCCGTCCGCCTGTCCCTTGACTTTGGCAGCGCCCACAGTCCGACGAAGGACAGGAGCAAGGACAGCCCCCCGGTCAGGTAGAAGCCCACGCGCCAACCCACCGTATCTACCAGCACCCCACCAAGCACCAAACCAACCGAGAATCCCAAAGGCTGGCTCAGTCCAAGACATGAAAACGCCACATTTCTGGCCCTGTCCTTCGGGATGGACTGCGTCACGAGGCTCACGGATGATGCCAGGTGCATGGACAGGCGACGCCTTGGAGTGCACGATACGCCACGAGCTGCTCACCTGATTTGACGAAGCCGTTGGCCAGCAAGAGAAGGGCCATGGAGAAACAGCCGACGAGGTCCACGATGCGACTCCCGGCCGCGTCGGCGAGAGAGCCGACAGGGAGGATTGTCGATCCCACGGCAAGACCGTAGACCGATATAGGCCAGACGTGCAGCTGCTCCGGCAGATTGAGCTCGGCGACAAGTGTAGGCAAACTGACTAGGATAATTCCGTTCACAGCCGGGGACAAGAAGTTGAGGCCTGACAGCTGGAAAGTTGTCGTTGCTTGGCGGGCTTTGGACGCCGTAGGGCCATCACTCTGATTCTGTCTCTCGGTCTCGAGAGGAAATTCGTTGCGAACATCTCGCAAGTCAATTGACTCATGGCTGAGTTGGGTGGTTGTCACGGTCGACATGATGAGGGATTGAGTTGGACCTTCCGAACAACGAAGATTCTTGGTGGGACCAAATCACTGATAGTGGTCAATTTAGGATGACTCAGAGTTGAGCGAGACGACTATCAACGAACTTGTATCTAATCAACGGTCATTTTCCGTGACTCAAGGCTCAATGTCACTCAACGTTGCCCAGGCCTGTATTCACAACATCATCATAACGAAAAACGTAAGCGTCGTAATTGCATCAACTAACATCATGCTGCCGAGTGAGGAAAGATGTTAAATAACGAGCATGCCAGTTGCTGAGACACAAGTCGAGAGACAAGCCGGAAAGTCTCTTTGAAAGTATTGAGACTTTCCTGTGCCATCGCACTCCCGCAATTTACCTTGCATCGCGGCGGCGCCCTGTCTCGTCTCACAGCAATCAACATTGATACCATGCCGTGCCAGACAGACAGGTCAGCAGCGCCCCCTCCCCCACGCCACATCCAGCCTCCTGCAAGGTTCCCGCGACTTGTCACATTGCATCACATCACACACACACACACACACACACGCACGCACACCACCCATAACCTGCCCGTGTCACAGTATTCCAGATTCTGTATGATTACTATCCGTACCCAGCAGCAGCATCAACTGCCCTTGGTTTTCTCCCCTGTCGCCCTTCAGTCACGCTGTCAAGGGCCCCGGTCACCGAGGCAAACAGCGCCCGGGAAAGCGTCAACCAAAGAATCTGGTCACATTTTCCCCTTGCCGTTCGCCCGTCCGTCAATCAGCCAGACCTCGGGCCAATACTGATGTTACTGTGTGTTTTTGGGGCGGGCTGCCAAACTCGCGCGCAAGCCTCTTTGAGACCACAGCCTGCGTCTGATAGGCCAGCCGAAGTTGACCTAACTGCCTGCCAGCCGCATTTACACGGGAATAGGTGCAGTTTTCATAAACGCCATTTCCGCAGGACGACCTCCCCTGTCCCCTGATACTTGTACCTGCTATGCAGTGCACTGCGCAATGCTGCACAGCCAAAGTGCCAGAAGCACCTCAAGAGGGGAGGAAAAAACCCCTCACCCTGCACGGAAGCTGTCCATGCAGGCAGGTTCCCTTCCCGCATCCTGACCTGCAAACGGATCCTGCTCCGTCTCACTCAGCTTCTAGTTTCCACCACCTACCACCTACCTTACCTTCAAATCCCGAACTGATGCACACAACAGCCCAGGAACTGTCAATCACGAGCACATGCCCTCTCGCCTCGCTTGCCGCGGGCCAAAAAACCAGAAGTCCTGAGTCGGGTCACGATCACGATTGATGCCCGACCCCAAGAGCCAGAAGGAGGGGTAGAAGGAAAGGAAAAAAAAAAAAAATCTCGAACAGAGACCATCAAAACGGCTTAGTGGCCGAAAAATGAAATAAAAATCCTTAAGGGTCCAAGTCAGCCCAAAGACGATGCGGAGAAAAATCTGGATTTTGCTTTCCCCCCCCTCCTCCCTCCCTTCTCACACACACTCCAATACCGTATCCGTACCGAGAACATGTAATTGATAGGTCCAAAGTCGAAGAGAGTCCAGACCACCACCACCCACCGCGACTCTCCTCCTCCCATCTGGCGTCACTAGCCTCTTTTCCAAGGCGGGAGATCGGCGCAGAAAAACGTCGTCATTCCATTCCTCGAGAGCCACTCGCGCTCCCCCTCCAAAGAAAGGGTCGTATGCATACGCCGCCGCCTTGTGAGAGGCAGGCCGATTGGGCACGAATGAATCCGCCGATCCCCCTCCTTTGGTTGCTGTAAGTCTGTCTGGCCGTCTCCGCCTCGGGCTGTTTCCTCCAATCTTTCGGCCTGTCAGTCCGCGAGGCAGCAGCAGCAGCAGACAGAAAGCGAGACAGACTGTCGTTGGGATGGGAACCGCACCGCCGCCGCCGCCACTCTGACCCCATGTTACGGCCCATGTAGTCACCGATCACCCGCATGAAGCTTACAAGGCCATGTATGTAATCAAATAAGCGTAGGGCAGAAAGATCGACGGTGAGGCGCGTGGGATTGGGTGGCTTTTGTCCCTCTCGTCTCTAACCCCCCAACCCAACTGAGTGAATTTCATGTGTGTCAAGGCATCGGGCTGTCTATTTGCTTCTTCTTCTTCTTCTTCTGAAGATGTCACATTGCAATTTGGCTGGCTGTATCATTCATGCAAACCACAACCTCCTTCGCTTCTCATGTTCGATTGTGACAAATCAGGACAAGATACGTACAAGTATATGCATGCATTTCGTGATGGCAGATGTGAGGAGCAACATGATGAGTGGGTGCAGCCGGCCCTATCCATCTCTCTCCACTCACACCCAACGACCATGGTACAGATGATTTGATTCCACGTAAATGAAGCAGCAACAAGCAAGAGACGTAGTCAAACGAGTAACCAACTTTGATGAGCGCAAACGAAATCGACAATAAACCCCACCCCGCCCTAAAAATGTTGCGCGCGCGCAAAGAGGCGACAACGACGCAAAGCTCGTGAGAGCATTCCGGCCTGATCTACTTACTACCAACCACTTTCCGTAGGTATACATGAAATTCTACAAGAGACATTCACACATCTTTTTTTCTGTTTTGTTCTCATCCCTTCGTTTGCGAGTATCCGGCCTCACTTTTCCCGTCTTTTTTTGCCACCAAAGTCGTTCATTCCTCGTCATTCCTCTTTCATCCCGGTACGCCCATCTATGACCGGTTCCCAATATCCGTTTCCTCCCGCCACACCCTGCCACCCCCTTCCCATGATAGAGACAGAGAGAAAAAGTCCAAGCCTGTCACCCGCCTAGCGTTCTTGTTCAACTTCAAGTTCCCCCCTCCTTGAAGGGTAGCATCCACCTGAGCCCCGCGCCTCCTCGAGCCTGAACTAGCCCTTCAGACGATAGCGGCAGGGCTTGTGTGCCCAAAGGCTGCCAAGGGGGGGAACAAGCAGAAGAAGAAAAAGCAAGGAAACGAGAAAAGAAAACAGAGAAAAAAAGAGAAAAAGCAAAGAAAAATCAAACCCCGAAGAAAATCAAAAACGGATGCCCCGTTCATGATGCTGACATGGATACCTGATACCTGCCCGACCACCTTTTGGAATGCGAGAATGATGAGCAGTTATCCTCCGATGAACTCCAGTTCCACGTGACATCGTGTTGATAAATCGTCCCTTTGTCACAAAGACGTCCGAATGCCGAGAATGTACATTTGGGGGGAAGAAGCAAAGAAATAGTAGAAGGCCGCCCATGGTGTGATAAACAATCCAGAGAGAAGCCATCCACCGAAGCGCCGCCATCCAGAGTACGTGTACAAGCATTTCAACATGCCCCGAGATCCAGTCGTGTTCTTTTTTTTCCGGCATGATCCCAGGGGTGGGGGGAGAAGCAGCTGGCAAATCCCAAATCCTCTTATCTGCTCCCGTGGGAGCCGGAGCCTGCCTGGTTTCCGCCGCCGTTTCCGCCAGATTCCTCGTTCGCCTCGTAGAGGTCCAGGCACGCCTCGAGAACTATAACCCTGCCGTTAGCTTGATTTGCGCGCACACGAAAAAGAGTTTCAAGGTTATGCAAGGCTTACTCTCGATGATCTGCTGTTCCCACACGCCATATTGATAATCAACCAGCCCGTGTCGCTCGATGCCATCGCACAGACGGACCAATTCCTTGCCCATCTTTTCCAAGCCTTCCTTGCTGATCAACGTCTGGGATCGTTGGAGTTGGCGCCCGGGTTCCATCAAATCCTTCTGCATCTGGAACAGCGCGAGCCACGCGTGGTTGAAATCGTTCCAGAGCTTGATTCGGTCTCCATGCAGATTTTGGTCGTCAAGGTTGAGTCCTGTGAAGGTCCCTAGTCTTAGCAATTTTGGACGTGCAGGAAAAGTCGGCATCTGCCGCGAGTGGCTCGCAAAGCTTACCCAGGTCAACAACTTGCGACAGTAGCCAGTTGGAGACGTCGAGGAGCGACTGGCTGGCGCTCTCGAGGATGCCGTTGCGGACGTTTTGGAACACGCCCCGCAAAGCAGACTGGTACTCCATCCACTTCTCTTCCAAACCACCTGTCGCAGAGTAATCCTGCTCCTCCATCGAGACGTCAGCACTTGCTGTCGGCTGCGGCATGCCTCCCACATTCGAGATATTGGTCTGGTAGTTGGCCATCTGCGGCTGTTGATAAGCGGTCGCGGTGGCGCTCGCGGATGGCGCATGAGGGAGGTTGGAGGTTCCTGTGCTACTGCTCGGGTCATTCTGGAAGTACGACGTCGACACGTCTGTCGGTAAGATCGGTGCAGCTGCAGGCTGCCGTTGAAACTGCGCTTGATTGTCGTAAACAGAGCCCGTCGCGCCAGTCAAGTTGTCGTAGCCCATCGTCATGGCCGCCGCATTATATCCACCAAAATTCTGCGCTGCCGGGCGGCCATCCTGGCCGTATCCTGAGGGGTAATGCATTGTGTTTGTTGCCATTGGCGTGTTGAAAGATCCTGCTACCGGTTCCTGATAGTTGTACGTGCTGTAGCTACCCGTGCTTCCCATGCCCCGCGCTTGTGAGGGCGATGTGTTGAGCGGCGCCGGCCGGTTGTATCTCTCTGTCGAACCTGTAGCCATTGAGCGGCGCTGCTGCAAAGGATCCTGAATGTTGTATCTTGGGTTGGAGGTGGGATGCATGGGCGCTTCATTCTGCCTCCTACGGCGATTGGGATCATCCATCCCACGAGGGGTTTGGTCGCCGGTCGACTCCGAAGGCAAGCCTACCGTGTGCGCCGGCGGCAACGGAGCTGGAGATGTGTACAGTAGGGCCAGGTTGGGCCTTTGGATCGGTCACGGGACCGTCCAGCGTGGGTGTAGATTCCCTCGGAGTTGGTGGTGGTCGTGGTGGTGGGTGGAGGAAGATGATTTTTTTTTTTTTTTTTTCCCTCTTTCTTTTTTTTTCCCCCTTCTTTCCAGACGCTTCTGCTGTCGGGGACAAAACGCGACGAGATGACCAGGACGAATGAGTGATATCGTTTGTCGGTCCGGGGAGCTTC